ATGTATTTACTTGAAGGCGGTGATAGACGTCGTTATAATCTACCTTCAAATGATGAAGTTGCAGTTGTATTTGTTGGCGAAGATGGTGCTCCCCCAACTTTCAGGGAAGTTGTTATTTACCCAAGAGGTCATCCTTTAAAAATTGTATCAAGTATGTCAGCCAACTTGGATCCTATGGTTTATCCGCTATTTTTTCCAAGAGGTGATGCTGGTTGGCATAATCAATTGGTGCATAACCCTGAGCGTGCCACACTGGTTAGAAATCATGTTACATTATCTCAGTTCTACAATTATAGACTTTCTGTTAGGCAATTTTTCTGTTCATTATTTCATGGCAAGAAACTATTTCAGCAGTATGCTGTAGATGCATATGTAAAAATTGAAAGCCAGCGTCTTGCTTTTATCAGAAATAATCAAAATAAGCTGAGGAGCGAGCAGTACGATGCCTTACATGAACATATTAACTACATTGCCAATGATCGTAATATTAGACCAGGACGAGTAGTAGTTTTGCCATCATCTTATGAAGGAAGTCCTAGAGCTTTAAAAGAAAACTTTGAAGATGCTATGGCAATTATTAAAAAGTATGGTAAACCAGATCTTTTTATAACTTTTACTTGCAACCCAAAATGGCGTGAAGTAACAGAAAATTTATATCCGGGTCAGAATGCGAATGATAGACCTGATTTGGTTACTCGAGTATTTAAACTCAAGTTAAATAACCTCCTCAATGATATATTCAAACATGGTGTATTAGGCAAAGTTGTAACGCATGTTCAGGTTATTGAGTTTCAAAAGCGTGGTTTGCCGCATGCCCACATTTTACTTCATTTAGAAAATGATGATAAACTTGAAACATCACAGGATATCGATAATTTGATTTGTGCAGAAAATCCAGATCCGATAGTTAATTGTGAACTTTATGATATTATCAAAACTTGCATGATTCACGGCCCATGTGGGATACTGAATCCAAATTCTCCCTGCATGAAAGATGGGGTGTGCAGCAAAAAATATCCTAAAGATTTTAATGCCAACACAGTAGCTGTTCACAATGGTTATCCGCGCTATAGGCGTCGTGATAATGGGTTGGTTATCAATATTAAAGGCAATAATGTTGATAACCGTTGGGTGGTACCTTATAATCCTTGGTTATCAAAGAAATATGAAGCCCACATTAATGTTGAAGCTTGCATGTCTGTGAAGGCTGTTAAATATTTGTATAAATACATATACAAAGGGCATGATTGTGCGAATGTTTTGATAAATGAACAGGTTAATCACGATGAAATAAACACTTTCTTAGATTGTCGTTATGTTAGTGCACCTGAGGCGCTGTGGTGAATATTTGAGTATCCCATAAGTCATATGTCACACTCTATTATCCGTCTTAAGGTTCATCTTCCTGAGAATCAGATTGTGTATTTTAGAGAAGGAGAAGAACAAGTGGCGTTAGATCGTGCTGCTCAACGTGATACACACCTTACGGCCTGGTTTAAATTGAATTCTGAAAATGAAGGAGCCAATCGCTATTCATATGTTGACATTCCATATCACTTTGTATTTGATGATAAACATTGTAAATGGAAGGTTAGACAAAGAGGTGGAAATAAGGTGATAGTAAGCTTGTATAAAGTTAGTCCAACAGGAGAATTATTTTTTCTTAGATTGTTACTTTTTCAAGCAAAAGGAGCAAAATCTTGGGAGGATTTGCGTACTGTTAATGGAATAGTTCTTGAAACCTTTCGTGAAGCGTGTGTTTTTAATGGTTTGTTGCAAGATGACACTGAATGGCAGAATACTCTTTCTGAGGCAGTTTTAACGCGAATGCCTAAGCAAATCAGGCAGCTGTTTTCAATTATTTTAACCTTTTGTGAACCTGATGACCCTTTGCATCTTTGGAATTCATACAAAGCCTTTATGATGGAGGATTTTATTCATCGCCAAGTTCCATTTATATTAGCTGAACAAGCTACTCTTCTTCAAATCGAAAAGATTATTAATCAAAGTGGTAAAACGCTATCTGATTATAATTTGCCTGTTGTTGATGAATTCATAGATTTTAATCTAGAAAATTTAAATGATAATGTTCAGCAATCAATTGACGAAGCTAATCGAATGAGACCGCTTCTTAATGTCAATCAATTAAATGTAAGTAATGCTGTCCTTGCTGCATTGAACGAGCAACCATGTGTAGAAAATCAACATTCCAGATTGTTTTTTATGGATGGACTAGCCGGTAGTGGCAAAACTTTTACATATAATTATTTGATTGCTGAAATGAGCAGTAGGGGTGTTAAATCTGCTACAGCTGCATGGACTGGCATAGCAGCAACTCTTCTTACAAATGGATCTACGCTGCACGGGTTATTTAAACTTCCTGTCCCAATACTGGATAACAGCACATGTAATGTGACTCCTAACTCTATTCAGGGACAATTTTTAAGGCAAGTTAGTTTGTTTATGCTTGACGAGACATCCATGATTCCCAAACACGCTTTAAATGCAATCGATCGGTTGTTAAAAGATGTTTGCAACAACAACTTTCCATTTAGAGGAAAAGTCATTTTTTTTGGTGGTGACTTTAGGCAAATTTTGCCTGTTGTGAAAAGAGGGAGACCAGCTGAAGTTGTAGAATCATGTATAAAATGTTCTTTACAGTGGCAATGGGTGCAGAAGTTTACATTAACTGAAAATATGAGAGTACGTGATGGAGAAGGAGATTTTTCCGAATGGCTGTTAAAACTTGGTAGTGGAACAATACCTGGCAAGGAGGAAGATCCTTTTAAGGGATGTATTGAAATACCGCAACAGTGCATTATTAGAGAAAACGAATCAATTGTTGAAAAAATATTTGGAGATGCTCAACAAGATGATTATGCTAAACGTGTCATTTTAACATCCACCAATGTGGATTCATTGTCAATTAATGAAGAAGTGCTTGAACGTCTACATGGAGAGGTCAAAACTTATTTAAGTGCTGATCAAATAGACACTGACGATCTTAATGAAAGAAATAATTTCCCTGTTGAGTTTTTGAACAGCCTAACTCCTTCAGGTATGCCTACTCATTGTTTAAAATTGAAAATTGGTTGTGTAATTATGCTACTTAGAAATTTAGATCTTAAAGCTGGGCTATGTAATGGAACCCGAATGAAAGTTTGTGCTCTCCAAAACAATTATATTGATGCAGAGGTTTTGACAGGTGTTTCTGAAGGTAAACGGGTATTTGTTCCTCGAATTCAGTTGGCTCCATCAGATTCTAATTTACCTTTTGTTCTAAAACGTCGTCAGTTTCCTGTCAGATTAGCTTATTCGATGACAATCAATAAAAGTCAAGGTCAAACATTTGATAGAGTTGGGGTATATCTAAAAAAACCGTGTTTCTCCCATGGTCAACTATACGTTGCATGTTCAAGAACTAGAGCATTTAATAGTTTGTTTTTCAAAATTGATAAACATCCTATTCAAGGTATGGTAGGTGAAAAATACTACACAAATAATGTTAAATTTTCTAATGTTCTTAATTTATAGTCTTAATATTTTCATTTCTAAAATTTACTGTTTGTAGGTTGTGAGCACATTTTGTATGTGTAACTTTAATATTTTTATTTTTTTCATAGTTTTTGATAAATATATTTGTCATTTAATATTGTTATATATTGTGTTTATATGTGTTATATGAAGTCATATTTGTTTATAGTTGTATATATGTTTACATTATGTTGTTTCCATGTTTTCAAAGTGGTGTGACTTGGCAAAATGTTAAGCAAGATTGTTAACCTTGCCAGCCAAGCGTTGTACTTATAGCAGAGGTGTGACTTGGCACCATTTTGTGCCAGGCGGTGTTACTACTTTAGAGCTAGGTGGTGTTGTCTACCTTTTTTAATTATTCTGGAAACACATAATGTCTGGTAATGTTTTGTGTAATGTGTATAAAAGAGTATGCAACCTTGATCCTTAAATTTAAAAATAATTGAATAACTAATATTGAATATAAAAGCAAATATACTATATTAAAGTTTAGTAAAAGGATAAATATAGATAACTCAAAATTGGTTTTTTAGTTTTGTCTTTCATATTTTTTTAAAATTGGTTTGTTATTTTCCACTGGATTTTAGAGTCAAGGGTGTAAATATTAGTTATATAGGTGTGAATATGTGTTAATGTTATGTGTTATTGTTATAATGTTGTAATGTATTGTTATAATGTATAATATTGTTATATTGTTGTGATGTTTTGTGTTGATAGACAGCTCGGCTTACCTTCCCGTTGGTGTCTATCGTTAAAAATGAATAATAGATAGTTTCATTATTGGAACTTGCTGCTTTTATTCATTTACTAAAAGCCAAGACAAAATCTTGCTATAAATTCAATTTATGTCTTTATTTGATTTTTTTTTTCTTTAGTATTGTTAATCCTTTAGTACTTCGAAAAAGATGTTATAGCTACTTTTTTCTATAAATGTTTATATTAACTGCAATATCAAAAGGTTACAAAAACAGGTAAATCGGTTTTCAGTGTTTATATATGGTGTATATATATATATATATATATATATATATATATATATATATATATATATATATATATATATATATATATATATATATATATATATATATATATATATATATGTTATAATTCCGTTATAATTCCGTTACTTTTGTTGTTGTTGTTATAATTCCGTATATATATATATAACATATATATATATATATATATATATATGTTATAATTCCGTTATAATTCCGTTACTTTTGTTGTTGATGTTATAATTCCGTTATTTTTTTTTATTTTAGATTTTACCATATGACGTATTAATACAATATTAAAAAAAAAACTTGATTTCCTAAATTTGTAAAATTTTGTTCGTTTGTTAAAATGATATAAAGACATTAATATATATATTTTTTTCCGATGTTTTCCCTATCTTATGCTTTAATAATTCGTTGTTAAAAACGCAGGGAAACTTGCAGTTTGTCAAATATTAAGTTGATTAGTTTAGTCTGCAATTGCAACAATTTTGAGGAAAGAAAAAATTCTTGTATATGTAAATCGTTGTTTTACGCTTTATTATTTTGGTAAAAGGTCTTCATCATAAATAGATTACTCTTAATAAAAATAACTCTACTCACATGGCTACCATTAAAACAAAAAAAGGGGAGGGGCTCTTAATTAGCGGAGATGTCAAAATATTGACGAAACCGAAACTTCGAGTAATAAAAAGAATATTTAGTAAATGGCAGCAAATTACTTTACCGTTTGCAAAAAATTATTGAAATAAAGAGGCCATCTATTCAATATAGAAATAATCAGAGTTTAGAAGGCTTAACATGACCGGGTCCGGTTAGCTTTGTTTGCAAACATGAGATTATGTCACGTTAACAACCTCAAAAGTCAATTTAAAACATGTTTAGTAGCAAAATGTGATACATACAAGTATAAATGTGATAGTATAGTAATACTCTTTTATGATTTTTTAGCTAATAAAATGGATTTAAGACTAGATTGATTTTTGTTTCCTGTTAAACCGCAGTAAATAAAAATTAGAAGGCTATTTGGCCCCGTCAGAATATGCGACAAGTTTGTTTTCAACTCATTTACACAAAAATGGAATTAAGACAAGTTAGCTCCTAAAATTATCTATATGTACAGATATGTTTATTGCACTTATTAGTAAATAAATTGATTAGTTGCGTAATGAGTTTAAATTTTAGCCATTTTTTAAAGTTGATAATCATAACGTACTTAATTAAACATGCGTGATGTAATTTGCATAGCTAAATTAAATGCTCTTTTACTTTAGTTACTGCGCTAAGTGTTGCGCAGTTTGGTTTGTGCGCAGTTTTTCTTCTGTTCTGGAATTTTGAGATTGGAATTTCCAGACTTATTTTAAAAAGCGCGTTTTCGTTATAAATTTTTTTTACATCTAATCGTACCTATCAAGTAGGTCATATTCAGTATAATCAATTCAATCGTTTTCATTTTTTATGTTTTAACATGTCTATTACCTTTATTAAATTTGTTTTTAAGCATATTTGTTTTTATTTTTTATATCGAATTAATAGAATGAATCAGATTGAAGATGAAGGTTTGTATTTATTTAGATGTGTATTATGTTACAGATGTATAATGTTATGTTGTTAGTTCTTAAATATATGTTTATTTTTAGTTGCTGAATTACTAAGAAGTAAGTTTTCTTTTATTTTGTTATTAAAAAATGTTATAAATTGCATTTATATGTTTGTTAATTTAAATTAACTTTACAATATTAAAATGGTTTAAACGAACTTAAACAAACTTTTGTAAATGAATTTAATCCTCAAAGAATAAATTTTTTT